TATTATTGCAATATCACGGCTGGGAACACCAGCCATGAGCTCATGTGGGGAATTTAACCCCGACCTTCAGCTACCCTACCGCTCCAGTTCGATAGTAAGCCGTTGCAAGACAATGTGATGCGATGCCAAAAATTTCAGTGTCCATTTGGCTGACCATGACGGTCATGGCCAGGCAATCCAGTGATTGTGAATCGAGGATCTAGTGTACACACACGCACGCACGCACGCACGCACGCACGCACGCACACACACACACACACACACACACACACTACACACACACACACACACACACACACACGACTTTCCACAAAATGACTACTGTACATAAACTCTCAAACACACTACATACACATTAAAGCACACACACTAAAACACACATACCCTGCGCACTCACTACAATATGTGTGAGTGTGTGCGTGTCTGCGTGTGTCATGGTATGTGTCATTGTTACATGTCCAGGATTTCCTTGTGATATCTTGCAGCTGTCTCCTGTAAACTGCCACTATGTAGGATATCACATCTATCCAAGTGGAAACATATCCACCAGGATGTGAAATACGTGCATTACATCGGCATGGCCAAATGTCAAAACAGATAAATATCACTAAACACATTGAACACATATCCCTAATTATATAATGATAGTGAATTGAAAAATGAAATCTCATTAAAATCAGATCTGTTACGATGCCTCCCTGCGTCAAGAGACTGACCGCCCAAACTAAACGAATGAAGTGTAGGTTCGTGGCCCAATTTAGATGTCAGCTTTCTAAAGCGATTCGGTGCTGTCGGGTAGCCTAGTGGTTAAAGGGTTCGCTCGTCACGCCGAAGACCCGGGTTCGATTCCCGACATGGGTACAATGTGTGAAGCCCATTTCTGGTGTCCCACGCCGTGATATTGCTGGAATATTGCTAAAAGCGGCGTAAAACCATACTCACTCACTCACTCACTCACTCTAAAGCGATTCAGCTTCACTTCGAATTTAATATAAAAAAAGAAGCCACACACAGAACACAAATATTCCTTCGAAGCACAGGACTTTTTAGCTAAATTCACGCATATTCATGGGACTGGAAGGGTGTTTTGGGCCAGGAATATGTATGAATGTCGGTAAAAAGACTTTTGTTCGCAGGTGTTCTCTTTTGAGTGTAGATGCCATAGTGTCCAGATACGACAGGGTGAATAAAACCAAAACAAATATTAAGACTAACATCTAGTCTCTGAAATGAAAGTATTTTACAGAAGAAAGTTGTAAAATTATAACATATAATTATATAAAATATGATACAAATGGGCCGTGGGATTCTCATCACATAGAACCTGTAGTAGTATATATAGACTTACACAGGTTGTACTGGATATATTTGTTTCAGGACTGTTTGACAGACTATAAAATATCTACAACGATAATAATAGTGAGGAACAAGCCGATTAAGTTCGTTTACTTGATACAGAAACCAGAGTTGAAGGTCTGAATGCTTAGATCAGTCGTACCGAGAATCTAGACCTCGACGCTGATTATTAAGTTCACATGAAGAGACCAATGCAGGTGTTAAAGATATAATTATGATGAGATTGTTTAAAATCGGTAACCGCGATCCCATATGGAAGAGTAATAATGAAAATACGAACTATTGCCAGACATCGGACATTTCTCTGTCTGCCATGTATATGAAGGGAACAAGTGGTTTGGCTAATGTATTCGGACATTAACCACATACAATTATTATGATACACAAACAAGAAAATAGCGCTATCACTATCCCCCGCCATGGGTCACGTTAGAACTTTGTTCATATAATAGTGAATATTAGCTGTAAAAAAGAGTCTTATAAAGCCTTAAGAAGAGTTAGGCACTTGGGTGCCTTTATGTAATCAGAAAAAAAATGATTAAATGTGAAATTAATACACACAAAAGGCCTCAATGGAAAATATAACTTAGCCTTGATAAGTATCTCTTAGATATGCTAACTTCAGTAGTTTGTGAGAAAACCTGTTCACATTGCAGACACTATGCACCAAGTATAAGAACATGGATCAAGGGCCATAACAGGACCAATCTACGAACTCAGTCTTGGCAAGTATCTCTTAGAAGAGCACGCAAACTTTCATTCAAGTAACTTCAGTAGTTTCTGAGGAAACCTGTCCCCATTGCACACACTATACACTACGGTGACAGGCACGGAGCAAGGCCCATAATTCTCTGAAAAATGAATTTACGACACCAATTTTCGAACTCATTTCAGATCATGACCAGTAACTTTAGTGTGTAAAATTTCATTTCTCTGACTTTTATAGCTTTTGAGAAAATTTGACCCCTTTAAGAAGCGGGCGGACGAACTCCGTTTCTATATCTTTCGAAAGAGCGATCGCACATATGAAGAAACTTGCAGAATGTGCTGATCACTGGACCTCAACAATCGAGATCGCATGTTAAGTAGACAGGTAAGATACTCTGGGTATTCCACAGGCTGAGGTCAACGAAGTGGCCAAGGCAATCTCTGTGGTCAAGGCGATATTTATTGAACCGGTGATGTTTGTGTTAGTAATGTGTCTGTGTCTGTGTCTGAATATGAGGCACTGTTATAATTTGAACTTTCAACGCATAACCCTCGATTATTAAATGTATCATATGAGGAAGTTATAATATAACGTCGCATCGGCCTTGTTTCAGCCATATAGCGACAAGCGTATCCTATCTCCATTAATTATTCTCATCAAAATCAGACCTTTTTCTCCAATACCAAACCTTTTTGCGTGAATATCCAGCACAAACACCCCATAGCGTGTAGCATCGGGCCAACTTTCACACAGCCAATTTGTATCAAGGCTTTGAGAGGCGAAGCATTCAGAGCAGCATATCTGATTTCTCCATGTCTCATACGAACATAAAAAACGAGCAGTTCCGAATGAGAATAATAAGGGCCGCGCTATTATTTTGTTGTGGGCATTTTAAACACGGCCGTTTCTGGGGTCCATGACACCTACAACCAAAATGCATGGAAGAAATATTGGTGTTCTGGGTCGGGTTTCCTTTGTTTATGATCAAACTTTCCTAATCATGGTGGTAATGAAATGACGCCTTATCACTTTTGAAGATCCGGGAAAGAAAAGGTCTTCAGCAACCCATGCTTGTCATAAGAGGCGACTAACGGGATCGAGTGGTCAGACTTGGTTGATGCATGTCATCGTATTCCAATTGCGTGGATCGATGCTCATTATGTCAATCACTGGATTGTTTGGTCCAGACTCGAATATTTACAGACCGCCGTCATATAGCTGGAATATTGCTGAGTGCGGCGCTAAACAACAAGCAAACACTTAAGAAAGTTGACATCTGAATGGCTGAAGAACCAAGGCATTCTTCATTTTGATTGTGCAGGGTAAAAGATCTGATAGTAATGAGATTGAGTAAATACCCAGAACCTGCCTTAGATTCGTTTAAAATTACACGAAGCTAATAATAGCTATGGAACCAACCTCGAAATGTTGCTGTTGTTTTTTTAAATAGAGTGACGTGGTTAAATACATATACTACTCAAAAGAAGTTAAGGATCACCTGATTCTTTCATATTACAATAGTTAATTTCTCATGCCATGACAGATTAACATTACCAATATGAAAGAATTGGGTGATCCCTAACTTCTTTTGAGTAGTATATTACATTTCCATAAGACCGTCTTAGCCAGGACTTCATGTCAAGGTAATGTGCGTATTTTACGAACGCTTCGATTAATAGTTGAAATGAGATTTGGTTGTGGTTGGTATATTCAGCATTATTCCAGCTATATGACGGCGGTCTGTAAATGATTGAGCCTGGACCAGACAATCCAGTGATTGATATCATGAGCAACGATCCACGCAATTTGGTTGATTACATGCTTCAACCAAGTCAGCCAGCCCAATCCCGTTTGTCGCCTCCTACAAGAATGAGTTGCTGAAGACCTATTCTACATTTGTGAGCATTGTGCCACTGTGTGTGACATTGCGTGTGTACCTTGCAATATAAAAAAGCCCATGTCCATGAGGAGTGGGGTGAGGTGAAATGTGGTTTAACATTGGGTTCAAGATTATTGCACTTATTTTGCGAAGGCATGCACAGGCGTGTGTGTGTGAGTGACTGCCTGTAGTCTGGACTAATGACGATTTTATAATGCTAGCCAATGAGATATCATGCCGAAGTTTTTAACATGAACACCCCATTCAGACACAGTATACAAGCCAACCAGTCCTTGTTTTAGCCCCTTAATGCTGAGCGCCAGGCAGGGTAACAAGTACCATCTTCAAATGACTTCTGGTATGACGAGGCTGGGGATCGAACTCCCGACCCTCTGCTCTCCCCGGGCTGACGCTCTTCCACTAGACCACGGAGACAGTCCCATGTCTAGAGTGTGGATGATGATGTGAGCAACAATCCACAGATGAAGCCGAGATAAAGATACTGACTGGATCCTTGTGGTCACCCATCCAAGCATAGTTCATACATGGAAGCCATTGTCGCAGCCCAACCCTCAATAGTCTGTTTACACCACAAACATGTGCAATGATACACAATCAGCTTGGTCATATACAGCCTTCAAAACACACCAGCTGGAGACAACTCAATTGTGCCGAGGACAAATCAAACTCCAATGAAGGTTTGTTGGTTGTTGAACGCCGCACTCAGCAATATTCCAGCCATATGACTGCAGTTTGTAAATAATCGTGTCTGGAACAGACAGTCCAGTGATTGATACCATGAGCATCGATCCACGCAATTGGGATACGATGATGTGGTCAACCAAGTCGGCGATCAGTGGAGGTTGTCTTCATTGAAAAGGATCCATTTGAGGGCTGTAATGTTCCAGCCATGGCACCTTCATTCATTCAGCCATGTGGGGAATCAAACCTGGGCCTTCAGCATTATTGGCGAGCACTCGACCACAAGGCTACCCTATTGCCCAAATGATGATGAGAGCTCTATAAGGACATACAGAACAAACAACAGAAGACGAGTTGTATGTATACATGACATTCACTTTCTGGTAATGAGAACATACAGGGAATGACTTCCTCGGACTGTCCCCCAGCTAGCCAGCCAGCTCTCAGGCCGGCAGAATCATGCTGACATGTACACAAACTTGTATGGCTGCTAGACGCCTTGCTTCCAAATACATACACCATGTGACAACCATTGTTCAATGTTCTCTGGATAACTGAAGTAGTAGAAGTTGTAGAGTTTGGAATCAATGTGAACTTGGACGACAAAGAGGGCTATATGAAAACTGTAGTGGTCAGTAGGTGTGTCTCTTCTTATAGATAAAAACAGATATATGATCATAAAAGTGAATTTTGAATTCAAAACAAGCTTCTGAAAGTTGATTTTAAAAATAATATTGTTAAAAGTAAATTTAAGAAAAAAATTAAACTCTAAAACATTGACAAAGAATTAATGAATTCTTACCTAGCTTTGTTATGTATACTGTCCGGTTTAATTATGCAGTTATGTACATTTGTAAACACGACAATATGCAAATTTCGGAGTCAAAGACACTCAGAATCACTAAAAAATCACATTGATGAGCCAAGTAAATTTCAAATGAGATTTCTATTATTCTATTGTTGTTAGAAACAATATTATGCTTTGATTGGGAATGGGCACATGATGTAATATATTTTGAAATTGACAATCATAAAATACAAATAAAATCCTTATGTGACTACATTTACAACATGGCATTGAGTGGCATTGCATGTTTCACAACAGAAATAAAAAACATATCCATCATAAAATCTGACATAAAATATATAACTCATTGACAACAGGAAATCAAGATCTATCAACAATCATCACTAATCAAGATGAATTTATTGCAAGGTACTAAAACATTAGCTTGTAAAACACCTGTGCCTTTTTCACACAGGTAAACATCTCCTGAAACGATGGAATCTGCTGTGCCTGATCTGAGAAAGTCATACGTAGTTTGTTTGAATGGATAGTTAGAGAGTTGTGTAAGTTTAATAGAGTTGTTAATTGTAGTACTTCACACTAAAAGAGACCATTGCTGGTACACATGCATTAATATGCAATGAAGTTGCATTCCATAACTGTTGCTTACATGCCTTTCGTGAAGAAATAAATTCTTGCTGTGATGAAATTTTACATTTTAAAGTTATATTTAAGGATTTGGAACGACTACATTATCAAGAACTTAAACCTAAAGAAGCTGTAAGAGCAAAGCAACAAGTATATGTGGTACATGATGTTTGCAGTGAAAGAGACACGAGACACCCAGTCTTTCACAGGCAGAGAATATACACAGGAACCTTAAAAGGCTAAAATCGAAAATCTTGTTTCTAAGGATGTGTCAAATCTGGGGGATCTGGAGCACACGTATTAAAATGACAAAAATTTTATCTAAAACATACTTTGCTCCCTTTAAGAAAAGTCTTTGAAGCAACTGTTCTTCTGTCTCCATCAAAGGACACTATGTCTATGGACAGGTCTACATGCAAAGACTCGGGGCTGGGGATATATTAGCAGCTAGCAAATATAATAAAACACTGGCACTATCTGGACGCAAGTCTGACGTTTACCTGAGAAATTGTAAAGCTCTTTTACAGTCATATATATTACATGATGTTTTCCACCAAGCTAGTTCCACCTTTCTTACTGCATGTCACATCATGTGTACATGTGTAAGACACATGATTGCATTACCAATATAGTGTTGCAAATATCTCGCAGACACTCTCATGCATGGGGCCTAGTTCAAGCATACATCACATCGTTATCTTTCTTCCTGAAGTAGCCATTTCAGTGAGGTCATTCAACCTTAGTTGTTCAAAAATGGTTCAGAAATAAATGTGAAACTGATACAAACAATTATGAATTTCATAAATGTATCCGACTCGCTGAAGAACAATTACAATTTATAGATGTCAACTTCTTTATTATGAGGAATACAACATTTCGGAGTATATACTTACTCCTTCATCACCTTTCCTTATCTGTTTCACATATAAATGCCAATCAAAGACTTAACAATTACCATGATTTGATTAATTCTTGGGCTGCAGGGAAGCTTCATCATTGAAACTTTTGCTTGTAACAACGAAAGCCCAGGTTTGATTTCCCACATTGGTACAATGTGTGAAGCCCATTTCTTGTGTCCCTGTCATGACATTGCTGGATTATTGCTAAAAGTGGCTTAAAACCCTATTCACTCACTATCACTCCTCTTCATAGATTAAATGTTAAATATACTGTGTGAAACTGTGTTCAATTAGAGGTGATATTTATGCATTGGTTATCAAAACAATAACGTCCCATGTGGTGCCTGTATACAATGGGCTCCAGCTTCAACTGGCTTGGTCACGAGTCTCCCATGTTTATCTCAGGCAACATTTTTCTTCTTCACGTTCACCAATAAAATCAAACAACCATATAAAACTTTGTAAATTATTTGGACCAACACAACTTAGAACTTTCAGACAATAATGATCATACTCATTTCAAGTAAAGCAAACAAAAGAACAATATATATAATATACATGTCTAGCAGCCATACACTTGGAAAAGTTTTAGAAGCAGATGATTCAACAAGCCAATCAATTCCAAGGTAACAAAACATCAGCCAATCACATCCAAGGACACACTTTGATCAGCCAAACAGTTCAAAGGAACAATTAAATAACCAATCAGATTGGCATACACAGATTCAAACTTCTCTGGATCAGTCGATCAGCATAGTGACCATTTAAGTGTAGAAATCAGCATTGCAAACAACAAACTCCTCACCAAGTCTTTCCATCATATACTGTGCAGACAGTGATACAGTCTAGCAATATCAATAATGAACATATATATAGTTTCAGCCCTTTCTAGCACATTACCATCATTAATTTCGTCAAATTCAACAATTCCAATAGTACAATATTTCATCCAATACTGGTCATCTTTGGTAGATCGGTACTCATTCACAAAACACAACTGATTAAAAGTGCACAAAATACGGTGCTGGGTTTTCCCTGCAATGTTTCTTCATATTTTAACATTTACAAAATATAAATCATCGCTAGTCCGAGTTCCCCCCGGAACAGCACAGCAGAGAACACAACTTACAATGCACTTGTGGCTGAAAATATACTGCAACCGGTAAATAATTTGTCTGCTATCTTTCATGATCAACAAACTTCAACTTTAATAGTGTGCCATTAAAAATTAACAGTAACCATGGTAACAGATACATGTTTGGCACCCGTAACAATATAGGAGGCAACAGTGAGACCCTAGAGAAACAAGGAACTGGGGACAAGATCTCTGTTGTCATAACAACAGATGGATTTAGGCCCCCTTGTGGAGCAACAGCAAGCACTCTATCACAACTATCAGACTGAACAACTACCTCTCAGGTCTCATGTTATGATGGTGCATGAGATTTAGCCAGGTTTACCATTGTTTTTTTGCTGTTCTGTGATATCAGGATTCACCTTGATTTCTCCTTAGGCCAGAAAATTCATTAAAACTTGGTCTACAAATCTGCCAACTCGAAAAAATCTAAAATTGAAAAATAAAATAAAATAAGCAGCAGGGTTTTTTCATTCTGTTGACCAGAAACTAGTAAAATGCTAAAACATACCAACTTTTTTACTGTTGCTATCAATATGCATAAATCATTTAAAACACTTTTCCTGCCTCCCATTTTTTTAAACACTTTGAGGAAATCAAAACAAAATATTTCAAATTGGATTTTTTTATAATATATTTTTTTCAACTTGCCAACCAGAATTTTGGGCCTCAAAGTTTTTAGGGCTTATCATCTTGATAAATCAATCATCAGTGGTTCAGTCCAATAATCAGGAGAAAGGTTTGCCTCACATGGGAGTAAATTCTACATTTCATACGCTACAGTTAATCATTATTTTATCAAACAGCTAATCAAAATCATAACCACAAACACATTAAAAATACAAATATCATTTCCAAGGTTAAAATCAACAGCTTTTCCCCAAACACATTCTATTATCATTCCTATAGGTTCATATTGTGCCAGCACAACGCCTTAAATGTCATATATAAATATATAAAAAGCCCTTTTGCTTACTAGCTCTGACTGATTAACTAACTTGAGGAAGGAAGGTGTTTAAGATCCACGGCACACAATCTTGAATGAAAGTCGATATTGGGATATCAGTTGAAATTCCTCAACACTCGCCGAAATAATGTGATAACAATTGGGCAAACAAACAATTTTTTACTTTTTCTGTTTTACCCAAAGGATTAATGTGGGGCAGACTGCCTCAGAATAGTGGGTAAGAATCCCTTCCCTGCAATATGGCTGTCATGATGGCCATATTGGATTACAGACAGGTACAAAAATCACAAGAGGACACCCAAAATGTGACAAGAATGTCTGCACAAGACTTCACAGTCGCTGTTGTTTTGGTTTGGCTTGAGTGAAATTGCGAAAGAACACTACTCTAGTGGTGCCACGAGGTATTACATAGCAGCGAAATAAGCCAAACGAACTCAAGAGTTTAGAAAAGAAGTTCATTTATGAAATCCAATATGGCTGCTGTAGTTGCCATATGGGCCAGCATCAATTTACAATCTAAAGAGAAGTCACCACATTTCTGCAAATTTTAGCTCAATAGCCGCTCAAGTGAAATTAAACCTTACGAAAAATCATGTGACAATGGATGACTCATCATGACACAAATCCACATGACCCCTTAGGCCAGGTGAGCTAACAAGCAGTAGAATAGTGTTTGGTATGAACATATTTGATATGCAGAGTTAAATCTCAGCAGAGAATATTGAACCATGCCATGTTTATGTGCGTTGACGCTGACATCAATCTCACAGTTCAAGGTCACATGGTAATAAACAAATGAGGCTACTCAGCAATATATTGCAGTTTAAGATATATTTAAATAACTAAATGAATAGATTTAATATATAAAAATTCCCTGCACTGTCACGCCGGCCACATATACAGGAGATCTCGTCAACACTCTGACGGTATAGAAGAGCTGGCCATGCCCTACCAACAAGAGCCACATTACAAAAGCAATTTCATATAGAATCAGTAACATCAGCACACATTCACACCAAATATAGCATCCAGATGACAGGATATGTTGAACTTGCTTCTCCTAGGCAGTCGACAATTTATCATTGTGAGAGAAACCCACTGAAGAGAAATTCTAATACAATCTCAATAAAATCAGATCTTAGTGTTTGCTACCACTAAACAAGGATCTGCAGACATCCCACTAAGGGTCACATCTGAATGACTTTTCATCCGACCAATCAGAACATCGCTTACCAGACTTGGAAAGTGAGTCAGAATGTGTTTTTTAATCATGCAACCTCAAAAAGGTTATCACAGGGTATTCCGAACATCAAAATCATCGTCTGTCTCTCGCTTCAGTGGAATAAACATTTCGAATGAAAGAGTGCAGCCATACTATCTCGGCCATCTATTAGACATTTCAGAATTGTCTCATATTCAGTTTTCAAATTTTGAATTGAGAACTTTAGAAATGGAGTGAGCTGCTTTCTGATTGGCTAATGTTGACTTCTCGTTAGTCATTTATTTGTCGGTATTTGAAAGGTGATTCTGACACGACCTGTAATGGGTGTCCTCAGGTCTTTGTGTAGCGGAAGTGAGCACTAAGATCTGATTATAATGCGATTCAATTCTAATATGAAGACAAAATGACTCTTGTATCAATTAACAAATTAACAGCTCATAATGTAAACTTAACATCCTTGTTTCCAGCTGCAGCTTTCAGAGTCTCTGATTTCTCAAAGTCTATCTGAGCATAAGAAAGAGGTGGCTCCCCCTTATCGTCAGCAGCAGAACAATGGCGACTTTTTGTCCGTGGTGAGCGCAAGTTACTGTCACTGTCACCCACGGCCTCAGAAGATCCAAGATCTAGAGAGGCATAATTCAGCACCTTTTCACTGCTGGCTGCCAATTGCTGTGACGAGGACAGTGTGTTGCCAGACGAGTTTTGTTGTGACGACAGTGTGTTGCTAGATGAGTGTTGTTGTGACGACAGCGTGTTGCTAGGGAACGTCATCTGCTCATACGCACTGAGATCACTGATGCTGTGCCGACTACGAGGATTTGGATCAACACTGAGTGTGGCCCCGGTAGCAGCCGGTTTGGACTGGGTCTCATCCAAGGTCAGCATGGCCGGTGTGCTCCCTGGGCGGGTCAAGGTCTTGGCATTTGGTTCTTCCAGAAACTGACCATCCTTGACCTTGAGTTCACCTTCACCTCCTGACATGCCAGCAGTCTTAGCAGGTGCTGGGGAAGCAGTAACAGCACTTCCTGAACAATGCTTGGCTCTCGTCCCTTCAAATTCCTTCCTGTTTCCTGATGGGGACTTCACAGTCTCTACTCTGGACTGAGGCTTTGGTATTTCTCTGACTCCACTAGGTGCAATACCACTGTACATTTCTCCTGTATTCTGTTGAGTCAGTTTGTCAGTATTAGATAATGGAGGATCCACGGATGTGCCCTCATGACATGCCATTGTTCTCTGAGAAATTTGTAAGTTACAATATGCGCTACTGGCAGACTGTGGGACTATATTGGAACACTTCTTCCGAGTAGCTGCTGCAGCATCACCAACACAACCTGAGGCTTTCTTCTTCCCCTCATCCCGAACAAATGTACCTGTGTGTCTCACAGGAGCACTAACCATGTAGTCACTGGCATCCCCCGTCCCCGAGGTGGGGGGTGCACAACTTTTTAAAGGAGAACTGAGTACATAGTCACCCTGATTGTCTCCCCCTTTAGGTATGCTAGGGGTGCTCCCTATTGGGGAACTTAACACATAGTCACTTTCTTCTGCTTTCGCAGATTTGGATGAAGCAAGACCACTTTGAGATGTTGTTACCCGTGAATCTCCTGAGGCAGATTTTGGTGGCTCTTTTTCAGATTTTGTCCCAGAAGAAAAGAATGATTTCACTGGTTGGGGTTTAGAGAACCCTGATCCAGAGCTTAGATTCCCTGGTTCGAAGCCTACATACTCAGATTCAGCACGTATAGGCTCACTTCTGGATCTGTCTGTCTTCGAGCCTGAAGGAGCTCCTTTCGCAGCATGTCCTGCTGGAGCAAACACTACGTACTCATCACCAGCGGCAGCAGCAGAAGAGTCTCTCTTCGTCACATGGGACGACTGTATCACCTTGGAAACATGAACATCTCTAGTTTCATCAATGTGAGACTTCCTCTTCGAAGAAGATACCCCACTTTTACGTCGGTGATCTCTACTTTTGCTTTTCTCTTGGCTTCCAGACTGCCTGGACTTCTTCTTCAGGGAGTCTGTACTTCCACTTCCATGTCTCAATGTCACTGGCTGATGACCCTCGTCAGCTGCATGCCCACCACCCTTCACACTCGGTTCATACATAACATAGGAATCGGCGGTTTCATTTGTCTGTTTCACTTTGTCCGAGCCTTTGAAATCTGATCGACACTGACTTTGAACAGAACCTGAATGCCGAGCATGATGACCTTGACCTTGATCTTGAAGGTCTAAATTGATATAGGCAGACCCTGATGAAGATGAAGAGGTCATTTCAGAAGGTTCCACATTGATGTATGTGTCTTCTAAATGCCCCTGGACATGAAGCTTCTCTGAGCTCTGGGACTTACTGGTGTTACCTGAGTCATGCGAGGACTTGCTCCGACTTGGGGAGGTTGTGCGACTACCTAGGGTCATGTCCATGTATCCGTTCTCCCGCCCTCGATTCGGAGGCTGAGGGGAGGGAGTCTTACGCTTCTCCACTGACATGTCAATGTAGTCCGTGTTTAACAAGTGTGTCTTTGTTCTCAGTTCCTCTGACAATTTCCTCAATGACTCATTAGAAGATACCCTAAGTGAATCTCTCGAGCTACGATGACTCAATGAATCTATGGATGATTTATGTAGCAGCTCTTGAGATGTAGTTCTCACAGATTCATAAGATCCCAGTCTTGCTCCATGTTTCAGCTTGTATGTCCGAGCACTCTGTCCATAACTAGATGACCGGGGTCGATGACCCTGCAATGCCTGCATGGGGGACTTGCCAAAGCTGGATGCTCGGGGGCGGTAGCCATGACTGTCACTGGCTGTGCGAGGTCGGTGGAAGTCCAGCTCCATGAAGGAATCAGAATCATCAGATCTGTAAGATGACTCTGATTTATATGACATACTGAGAGGGCTGGCACTAGGAGTAGGAGACTCCACATTTAGACTTCGACCTCGGTGAGTGATGAGGTGAGGTGCACTACAACTTCGACCATCATTATCCAAGATTCCACGCTTGATTGGAACAGGGTCATGCACATTTGGGATCCTGGCAGTGGGCTTGGTAGGCGGTCTGCTGCCCAGAGAATATGTTCTCTTAGGGAACTCACTGGCATCATCCGACAACATATACACGGCCGGCTCGGGGCGCAGGTGGCTACTGTCTATGGGACTCTGTCCACTGTTCGGGGTCATGGGGAGGTAGCCTTCATTACCTGTCATCAAAGGAACATGAGGTTAAACAAAATAATTCATTCTTCTAGATTTCATGATGGGGTGTATGACGCAAACACAATTGCTATTGAAAACTGAGAAAACAAACAATTGTGAATCGTTCAAATTCCAAAGAAACCTCAAACCCTGCTAATTATCTATGGTAACAATAGGATAAAAAATGCCCAAATCAAAACTGTATAAACTGAGAAGAAAACTTATAATAATTCATGTAAAATCGTTGTATTTTTCAGATTAAATCAATTCAACAATATCATATAATTTCAGTTTACTAACAGCTTCTGAGAGAGGAATGTCTGACTTACTGCCACCCTCTCTGACTGTGGGGAGATGGGAGCTGTGACTCATGTCCATGTAGCCGGCGCCGCCCCCCACGCCAGCCCCAACCCCACTGCTGGTCGTGGTAGGCACCCCGGACTTGATGGGGATAGGTTCTGATACGGTCCTCCCCGGCCCCATCGTCATGTAGGCGTCAATCTCGGCACTGGCTGTGCTTACATCATGAGGAGCTAAAAGAGGAATTCAGCCCAATGTGGGGTAGTGAGTGAGTGAGTTGTGTCAAATGCTGCTTCAACTAATAATTCAGTTATTTTGTGGTGAGTCAGCTTATGTTGGAGAAAAGCCAAGGCTGATGCAGGTCTTAGATGTTTACCTCACTTCAAATTAGAAATCAGTGATTCCAACATGTGTCAAGCTCCTTCCCATTGCGACACCTTTGTTACACTCCCGGTAAAACCCTGCAACCAGGGTGGAAGTCGCGATAACAAGAATCTTGAAATTTGCCCTTAAACCCCAGATGTAGTGACATTTATATTTTTGTGTATTTTGGGGGAAATTTTGAAAAGAACTACAACTGACTTATTATTTACAGACAAATTTATATTTTGTTTGTTTAATCAGATTGGTTGGAGATTCCAGACAACATACATACAGATAGTTGAATGAAATAGAAATTAAAAATTGACAACAAAGAAAATAACTTAGTATTCCGCGTCATGACAGACGTAACTTGTCTGTAAACAAAATGGTCATTTGGTTGTGGGTTCAGCTCCACGCATGGTTGTGGCCTGCCTGTCACAGTGGGGAGCTTTGACTGGTGACTGTGACTGGTGAGAGCTACGTGAAAGGACTATCGCTGTAAGGAGCTTGACATGTAGTGTCCAAAGTAAGACAACAATCCTTGTGAACAGCGGTGTTCTAGACAGCTCGGCCATCCCCTAAGTATAACATCCACTTCAGAGGTAAGAAAATACTTTGGAAAAGTCCTTCTTACAACAGAATAATTCTACCCATCTCTAAGAATCTATTATTACCCATAGGGTAATAAATAACCAAGTTCATAAAAATCATATTACCAGTGCAAATATCACTTCACCCGGGCACCATTGTATTGTTTACGACATCCAGACGCCATTGTTGACGTCATTCAAATCTTATTGTTGGAATGACGTCACAAAAGAAACATCATAGCTGAAGATTGTTGATGTCATTCGACAATTGTGCTTTTCTATGATGGTGGTCGTGATCTGAGCATTTTTCTAAAGGAGAGCTCAACAAGAAATAATTGGTAATAAAGAAATTATTACAGTCTTGTGTCTCATACTGATTTTATGAAACTTGTGAATTCATGTATTACCCTCGCTGTCGTTGAGGAAACTCAAGGATTCCGACACTTATTTTAAAATTCAGTATGACACACATGCTTGTATAATAATCTCTATCTATTCTTCGAGGACAAAGTGAATTGATGTATATGATTCAGCAACAGAAATACTTGTGTCTTAGATTACATGCACATGACGCACAGGGACTGGTAGGTGGGTAGTTTTTTATATTTTTAACATATTGAAGTTTGTATTAGTTTTCTTGACAACTAGAGCTATGATGAGGGAGTGGAGACTTTTACAAGTAATAGTTTCACGTGTCATGATTATTGATCAAGACACTGGCAACACAAGTACTGGTATTTCTTTTGGCCTCTTATAAATTTAATCCTATGTCCAGATAGAGTGACACACCTCTACATCAAACTGAAAAATTAACACTTTGAGTCTACTCAAATTTCTCACATGCTATTTTCCACAGCACTAATCCTAACCATGCTACAATCCTACAGCCTCAGTTGATGGCATTAAGGAATCTGCACTGTGACATCTCCACTGCCTACCTGAATGGGTGGAGCCAAGGTTCATGGCGACATACCCTCCCCCGCTAGTGGCTGTGGGAGGAGTGGTGTTCCCGGGACGCATGTCCATATACGGGCTTGCCTGGCCAGCATCTACCTCCGGAGGAGTTTTCACTGAAACATGGAAGTAAGTGAATTGGTTTTACACTGCTTCCAGCAATATCTGGGCGGGGACACCAGAAAAGGACTCCACATTGGACCCATGCAGGGAATCGATCATCGACATTGTGAAACAAACACCTTAACCATTAGGCTACCCCACTTTCTCCTTAAACATGGAAGAACATGTAAATAGTACCTACTGAACTCTTGGATAATAATTGGCAGAGAAATTAAAAGAGTGCGTGAGTGAGTAAAATTTTACGCTGCTTTTAGCAATATTTCAGCAAAATCACGGCGGGGGACACAAGAAATGGGCTTCACACATTGTACCCTTGAGAAAAATTAAAAGAGATCTCATGTTCATAATAATAACATTGGATCCCGCCGGGCTGTCATGATGTTATGATGTCTGGCTAGAACAAAGGGACAACGAGAATGGGCATTAGATGGAGAGGACGTGCCAAATGGCTCATGTGTGTCATTGTAGCTGGATTGATTCTCATGCTATCAACCACTGGTTTGTTTAGGCAAAGTATTTACAGGCTGCTGTGACATAGCTGAACATTTGCTCATCGCTGCATAAAGCATTCACTAACTCACCGACGGCTTTGCAGGGATGCTGCAAGGCCGGGGACTGTAAACAGGCACTAAACAGCCAGCATGTCTAATGATGGAACACTTATCTTCACCAGGTCCAACAACAGTTAAACAGGCACTAAACAGCCAGCATGTCTAACGATGGAACACTTACCTTCACCAGGTCATACAACAGTAAAACAGGCACCAAACAGCCAGCATGTCTAACGATGGAACACTTACCTTCACCAGGTCATACAACAGTAAAACAGGCACCAAACAGCCAGCATGTCTAACGATGGAACACTTACCTTCACCAGGTCATACAACAGTAAAACAGGCACCAAACAGCCAGCATGTCTAACGATGGAACACTTACCTTCACCAGGTCATACAACAGTAAAACAGGCACCAAACAGCCAGCATGTCTAACGATGGAACACTTACTTTCGCCAGGTCATATAACAGTAAAACAGGCACCAAACAGCCAGCATGTCTAACGATGGAACACTTACCTTCACCAGGTCATACAACAGTAAAACAGGCACCAAACACCTACCTTCAGCAGGGGAGGAGGAGATGGACGGGAAGTCATGAGAACTAAAGTCCTGTTCGAAGTAGCTGTCATCCTCCTCATCAATCACCTGGGGTGAATGTTCCGACATTGTCCCGGCATACGATGGAGGTCTGAGAACAGAAGGATGTTGAACATTAGGACATGACTAATGAGTAGCTTCAGAAGCACCAGAAGCAATTAGTAGCAGAAAGGCTCGAAATGTCGCGGAGATAGACACAGCCCCAAGACCACAAGTCAAAGACAAGTGATTTTTCCCCAGAATCTAGTCAGGTTAAAATTTAAAAAAATTGCAAATGATTCCATGGCATTTCATTGGGTAGCTGAGCAAATGTTTGTGCATTGATGTGTCCGTAAACAAGAAACATATTAGGCCATGCCCACTAACAGTCTACTGTTTCCTGAATGGCTGATAACAGAATGGGGGAGGGCTTGTTTTACAGGAGATAAGGTGTCCTCACAAGAATTCCATTGGACTGAGGTCCTCTGCTCCGGCCAGCATACTGGAACGGGATGCCCGGGACTCCGCGCTGTCGGACCGGAACCGATGAGGGCCCAGGTGCATGTCTAGGTGCCTGGAAAATAAATATTAGTAAAATATAAGCTTGTTTCTTTTACATTTTGATACTTATCCTGCATTACTGGATAAGATAAAAAAAAATAGTAAATAAGAACAAGGTAAATGAGTGAGTGAGTGAGTGAGTGAGTGAGGTTTAACGCCACTTTTAACAGTATTCCAGTTATAGCGTGTCAGCATAATGTGGGAGGAGAGCCCAAAGTGATGCGGGTCTCAAACGTTTACCATTTCTGTGAAACCCACGAGCACGGGTATGGCACTGATAAACCTAGAAACATAATAGGCCGAACCATGATTCGAACCCACAATCATAGGTTTTCGGTGTGCCCAAGGGACGCAACTCTGCACAGCGAATCGCAGCGACTTAGATGACTGGGCCACCCTGGTCCCCTTTATGATACAGATGAATACATTTTGACCATAATGCTCATGACCATTAGAAGCAAAGAATTGCTTTTCAGAAGTGAACATATCCAACACAGTGCAATAACTTTCCGTATTTCATGGAGATACCAATTTGGATTGTTATTCTAATCTTATTCACCAATCAGAATTGAGTATTCTCCAAATTGTACACTTGTTTTCGAGTCTTGACCAGACAATCCAGTGATTGGTATTGTGATCAACGATCCACACATTTGGGGTACGATGACATGCAATCAGCCTAGACAGTGAGTGTCACCACCAAATCCACATGGTCCCCTCTTACGACCAGCATTGGTTGCAGGGGACTGATTCTACCCTGGAATCCCCCCTGGGTTAAGACTATAACATACCAGGCTAAATTGTAACTGAAGACATGAGATGTTCAAAGAATATTTTAACAAATCAGGCAACTTGTCACATATTTAGTCGATGTCATAAAATGCTCACATAAAGCATATGATAACTGTCAGAAACGTTATTACCATACATACATGTTGAATAAAATAGTGAAGTAGGAAAAACATTGAATTTTTTAGAATGAATTTAGATGTTTGAAAACACAAACTCAAAGTTAATTATTCCATGACAAGATCATGAGTGTGATGAAAAGTATAGAAATATATATAACTGATGATGACAAGAAGCCTGGTTTTACAGTACATCAAAGAGTGCAGATTAACAGACACAGTAGAGCAGAGAGGGTGTAATTAGGGCTGAGAACTAGACCCAGCAATAAGCAGAAGTCACAGCAGCACATACATTAGTGGACTAGTTCCTGGGGAAATAGTATCTGCTGGCAGTGAGGTTGAGCGATTGGTTGGATAGACTGTTGACACCGGCCGTGGATGGTCATCAATCTGCTTCACTCTCACTCTATGAGGACTGAAATTCACAGAGACACAGTTTAAAGACTGAAGTTTTGTAGTTTCTACAGGATGCGAGAAGGTAATTCAATACAAAATTCGAGAAAACATTCTGTGTTTTGAAAACTGAGGTAGTGTAGGTCACTGTTTATACTTGAAAACATCTTGTTTAAATACAGTTGAATGAGTTAAGGAGAGGTTTCGAGTGTACAACTAAAATGTATGAGAGAAATGAAACAATAGTTAACATTGTGTATAATTCTAAGAATACTACCTCTATTACATCACTGCTGTTTATCCTGAATCCTGTCAACCTGCATCAATGCTCACGGGGCATGTACCAGATATTGAACTTACTATGAAGATTAAATTCCACAATGTTATTTTTTTTAATATCATTTCTGAATTAATTTGGGGATTCCCTTAAATAGAAAGACCACAAAACTGACTGTAAAGACTATTTTTCTGTTGGTAAAAAAACTACATTGTATAGCTTCAGGTGAACGAACAACACGATAACAAACTTTGTCAATGAAAATTTGCAATTTGCAATTACACATCACTAGACAAGATGATTTACCATTTGGGGTAAATAATTGATGAGCGTTATAGAGAAACACCTGTACATAACCAAGGTGGATTTGTAAATAACCAACACAACAGTACAAGCTTGGCCTAACAGACAATAACAAACTTGGTCAATAAAAATTTGAAGTTTGAGATAAAACGTCACTAGACAGCGATTGACTATTTCCCTTGTATTCTTGATATGCTAGGCATTTTGTTAGGCATTTTGTTATATGCCATTGATTAAAATTAATGTGTGTGTTGTCTCGTAAACTAAGCAATCAGTTGTACACTTTCTCCCAACATACTAGCGATAAAGTTCAAACATATACAATAATACAACAGGAAAGAATATTGATAGAATGATCGCAAAAAATAGTATCTGAACTATTATTTTACCAGGAATAAAATATTCTGATATTGTGTTATTTTAATTGCAGGTTTTACTATATCTTCAAAGTACTGATAACCATGACCATGCTGTTTATGTACCAGACATACTATTTTCATACATGCTCCAAGGACCAAGTTAATACCTCAGTTTAACTAGGAGAGTTAAAATCTGAAAGGTTGTGCCTGGCTTGCAATCAAAATCAAATTGAAGATGAATTTCATTTTATAATAATTTGTGATCGATATGTACATTTAAGACGAAAATATATACCCAAAACGTTTTACCTGTACCCCTCCATACATACGTTTGATATTTTATTGGCATCAAATAATGTAATAATCATTCAAAATCTATCCGTATTCATTTACAAAGCAATAAAACTACGTCTTGTGTAAATTACCTAAAATTTTGTATTATAATGTTTCTCTCTCACTGTATACTCTGTAATGTATAATGGGCCTGTGGCCTACAATACATAAGGAATGAAGACTATATATACTATATATAACTATGAGATGGGCTTATCTACAGTCAGATACGGTAAGTGGTGGCGATTACTTTTACACTATACTTCTAATTCACCTGTCACTTTAGAATTCAATGCATTTTATGCATGTTACCATGGTCACTGGTGGTGTGCATGTCAGACTGTGTCTGCCAATGTGTGTGGTCACTGTACTTTGTACATGTGTGCTCTTCTCAAACCCTAATCATACTAAAATGATATATATTGAGAAAACAGAACTGTAAAAATTCTGCAAAATGTGGACTTATCTACCGTATATCGCTGTGTATAAGGCGACCCCACGTATAAGACGACCCCCCTGTACACGCCTTAAAAATCAACCCAAAATCCTTAACTCCGTGTATAAGGCGACCTGGATTGAAACACATCACAAGTCTGACTGATATAGAAGATTTAACGTGCGCTTTCCGACTGTAGCGTATTTCGCACACGGACATCACAAGTGCGCACACAAACCTTATATATGCAATAAAAATATGTTTATCTTGCGTTGTTTTGTTTTTCTACAATGAGAGGTCGCGTGTGTAACTCAAGCACACGTCGCCATTTTGTGTTTACACGGTACGACACCAAATTGGTGCCCGTAAAATAAAATTTATTTATGAAGTAATAACATATAAGAGACAATGGTGAGTAATTTAATCGCCAATTAACTATGTTGTAACTAACTAGGCTTATATTTGCTTCACATTCAGCGTGTTTATTCCACAATCACTTGTACACACAGTCTCCAACACTTGTTAATACAACTGTAAAAACAGCGGGAATTGATTTCAGCTTCACCGGTTATCACATGTTAGGTCACATGTGCAATATGCAAATGCTTACCGGTACTTCCGGCTCTCTACTCACGGATGTTGATTGTTTTACCGTGTCAGGTGGTTTGACAATCTGCATCGAGGCGAGGGTCATTTCAACTTTATTTGCAGAAATTATTAAACTTGATATTGTCAGCAGCATCCACATGGTCAGGGTACAATGACATGCAATCAACCAAGTTAGTGATCCTGACCACCCGGTTGCCTCTTACCCCCAGCGAAGGTGGCTGGGAAGCGATTCTAACCTGAAATCCCCACAACGATGGACTCTGAGGTGTTCTGAAGAAGATTTGCTACTATATTCACCAATCAGAATTGAGTATTCTTCAAATTGTACATTTGTCCCTATGTGTACTCACTACAGGGGGTTTAAGGGTGACAGTGGGAGTGGTGTGAACTCTCTTACCTCTGTGTGTGACTTTCACTGACTGTGCGAGGTCGGAAGTCCTGGCTGTGTGGTCGGTTGCGGTTAGTTATACTTTCCGACCGCTTCTCAAAGCGACAACTGTCTGACTCGTCAAAACTGCTCATTGCAGTGGCATCCTTCATACAACTGAGAAGAAAATTACAATGGTATCATAATTTAAGAAATGTTCTTGTCAGGAATCGAGACAATCTTTCCAAAGGCTTAGCATGTGCTTACTAAATGAGAGGAAAACAGTCACTATGCCAGCACCATCACAGCAGGGGGCACCAAGAAAGCAAACCGATTACACCTATATGGAGAATCAAACCTGGACCTTGGTGTAAGAGGTGAACACATTAACTACCAGACTACCCAACCACCTATCACATGACTTCTCGGATAATTCTACATGCTCATAATCATAATACAATCTACGAGTCTAGTTCAAATCCAGAATCAAGTGAAAATTACTTTCATTAGATTAGTCTTATGACCATGCATATCTTAGGGGGCATTCACATGGCACAACTTGTTGGTAAAACTTGTATGGAATTATTTGTACAAACTGAAGTTGTATACAACTCTACATTCACACGGCGTCGAGTTGCATACAACTCAGATCTTGCGAGATTTCTAACCAAAAGCTTTTGATTCACTACATTACCACTGGAATGTATGAAAATGTATGCAACAAATTGACAACTGGATCTCTCGAAACAGAAGAAAATGTCAACAGTAAAACTAGAAGTTTGTTCGTTTTCATTTTCAAACGAGTAGGCCTACTGGTAGGTTCCGAGCACAGGGTTCGGTTTCATACTTGATTACTTCGATTGATTTCATTGGACCATTTGTATTAGTGACTTAGACAATTAGTCTATTAATTGTTAATGTTATGATGAATTCAGGGATGTCAGGGATGTATGTATCGTAGCTGAGTGTGAAATATATGTGATGTGATAGGCATTTCTTCACACGTGAAAAGAGGAAATTGTAAACACTATCCAACATGGAAGTTCACTGCAGTTCTTGAGGTTTTTTTCGACATTTCAAAAATGAATATAAAGTTATTGGAATCTTTCTTAAATGATAATTCATGTTTTGACAAAGAGCACACACCCAATGATTTTGTAATTGAACTTCCTATTAGCTATCCATTATTCGAATAAATAATTACATTGAGAATGCGGACTGAGAAAAGTACGATAATTTTGTTTTTTATACTTTCAGATGTTGCTTATTGTACTTATGCTTTTCCTAAAATAGTTGTTAATGGCATCAGATAATAGATACTTTCCTGCCGATTCTAAAACTATAAAGTGTATTTATGTGCGTGATGTAGTTTGAGTTTTAGAAACATATTATGGACTTAAACTCATCGAGGCCTACTGTGTACAGTCACACAGCCTGTCATTTCAAATAACACTGTGAAAAGTTTAATCTCGAGAATAAGACAGATGCAGGTGTCAAAAGTAATCATTTGTTACATGGTTGTTCTACGTACCTTCTTTTCATAGGTCCTTTTTTGAGTGGTGCCGAAAAGCAGAAGTAACCAAAGTAAATCTGAGTCGTCATTTTTGTTTACAAATTGGCGTGTAAATATCACATAATTTTAATAAGAGTTTTGATTGGCTGCGTGCGTACAACTTGTCACATGAAAATAGAGCATGCTAGTACAACTCACGTCCAACCTGTTGCATACGTCAAAAGTTGCCTGAACTTGCATGTTCACACGAACAATGTGTTGTATGCAATAAATTGTATACACCTAGTTGTACTGTGTTAATGCCCCTTAAGAAGTAAATCCACTGAAGGAAAATTCTAGCTAGAAGGCATAAAGTTTGCACATAGTGCCTGCAATTACTCTAGAATGTTCAGAATGACATTGTTTTAAATCGGTTCATGCATGGTTGAGTTCCAGCACTTACTTCAGTATAGCTTCATGCATGCTCTGTGCTATCACTGAATCCTCAACATGCATCCAGAGCTCCCCGGCTCCAGTAGGAGCCCAGCTCCCCACCTCCATACGGAACAGATTGTCATGGTGAGCCAGGGACCTTACTGTGGCCAGCTGAAACAATAGAATACACAGTTGAGTCCTGATGAAGACAGCATCTGCCACAGCCAGGACAATATACCGTATTCGACGTAATAAGCGCCCCGCTCTAATAAGCACCCACAGCGATATTTGCTAATATATTGGGTAGTGAACAATCCCAATCAGAACCCGTTCCGATTGATCAATGTACACTTATTGACTTATTTATTTGTGTATAATACATGTTTTATATGCATCCTTAGTTATGGGAAATTAAATTCTGGCAAAATATATCTGTCGTATATAAACATTTCAGGCTGTCAGCATAAACCACGAAATTTACGATCTTTCAGCTCTGTTTTTTTCACCAAAATAATATTCTAATAAGAGCTCCCTATTTCTAATTTTGAGAGCGCCCTGGGCGCTTATTACGTCGAATACGGTAACACAAATCAATGCACTGAAACAGACAAACAGTTTCACCTTGACTGTACTTAAGGTCAGGATAAGGATTCAAAAAGAAAATGGAGGAGCATATCTGTGTTTATTATAATACACAAAGATTATTGAGTGAGTTATGTTTTATGCCATCTATAATGTCAAAGCAGGGGTACCAAGAGGGTATTCTGGGTTTGAGCTCGTCCCAACATCCTTTGTTTGTCTTAGAGGTGACTTAACAGATAAGGCTGTCATGCTCACTGACCTGGCTGGCTACACATCATACCCTAAACATGCCAAAGGCTAAGATCATTGTTCATATCAAATACTGGTCCATCTCGTCTAGACTTGATTATTTACAAGCTCCCATCATATAGCTGGAATATTCTTGAGTGCAGCATTAAACAACAACCAAAGGAAGGAAGACTGAGAAGAGGTTTTATACACTGTAACCATGTATGGACTTGAACCCGGGTGTTTGGAAAGGCAAGAAATACCTTAACCACAAGGCTAACCCATCATTTCCAAAAAGATTCAGAATCAAGATTTAACCAAACATTTCACATATCCTAAATGCTTGCTTTTAATCGATTACTGTGATGACCCTCTGTGCTGCATCCTTAAACAAGGTTTTACCTGGAAAGACACCTGTGGTTTGTCGGAGTTGATTCTAAAGAGACTGAGGCTCTGCTTGGAGAGACAAAGGCGGAAGTTTCCCCTCAGCGTCTTCCCCGTCCCCAGCCCCTTCTGCTGGATGGTCACCTGCCACACATGCTCTGCAACCACAAATATCAAAGCTTTAGAATCAGCCTCCTAATAACCTCAAAACATGCACTGACTTACACTGAGCGAATGCGTTTAGGTTCAATGTCTCAGTATTTCAGTCATATCAAACAGAAACATAATCAGGGCGAATCTGGGATTTGAACCCCAAATTCTGGTGCCTGGCACGCCCAGGGATTTATCAAGGATTCCAAACTAAGTGCCCTTGGCAGACAAATTGGAAAAGATACAATAGTTGGATTTTTTTATAGTTATTATTTTCCTAAATTCAGAGGCATTTTAATATTGAATTTTAGCATTGCAGTCAATGCAAATGTTAAACTAAGAACTACGCCTCTTCCTCTATATTGGTCCTATTACCAGTGATATCCAAGTCACCTCTACAAATCATAACATTAGTCATAACTATAACAGCATGACTTTAGCTGCTGGTCTGAGCCTGAGTCTAGTAAATTCAGCTAATATTAATAATAGTCCATATAATAACACTAGTCTCTGCTAAAATTATGCTAGGAGCCAAGCTTTGGGCACAGACTGGAAATAATCAAAATCTACAGAAAATGACACTTATGGCCAACATCAAGGCAGGATATGCAAAAGTTGTTGGCACAGACACACTATTCTAATTAGAACTCAATTTTCTGGGGAAAAATACACATTTCAGAGGTTTATCTAGTCCTGCTCATAGGCTGATATTTGGCTCCAAGTGAGCAGCAAATGTCATTAAAAAATTCCCAAATTGGAATTTAGAATTTCCCAATTCATATGTTAATATATAACAAGTGTGTAAAAGATTTATGTCTTTGTAGAGATTACCTGTATTTCACTAATAACGGGACCATAAATAGGAAGCGGTTTGAATACTTAGTTTTATACTACTGCATCATAATACAGCATTACATGTTGGCACTAGTCCTGTAGTCCTTGCCAAACTGCCAAATAGTTAAGGTCTCATAAGGACCAGAAGAAATTTGCCCTTTTTAAGGGTTTTGGTATATGTTATCATTATGAGGACTAGTGGTCTAAAACTCTTACTTTCTATTGCTGTAATGCAATCGCAAAATACAATGTTAGAATACCTCTGAATTTAATCATTGTCAAGAAAATATGAACAAACTAATTATTTTTTCCCAATTTGTCTGCCATGGGAACTTGGTTTGGTATCCTGGATAAATCCCTACATTTGCACACAACATATACTTCAGGATTGTTTTCTTGTTGCCTAATCTATTTTGATAGCCATTAGTATTTCAACAATACTCTCAATTTTCTGCTATCTACAACTGATTGCATGTTGAGTGCTCATAACGTCAACAGCACTAATCACACACGACCCCATCATTGGTGTCAGGTGACATTCCAGAACTGGTCACTGACCTGTGTTTGGCTGCAGATTACACCACTGATCCCAGCAGCCGACACAATGCCATCCTCAGTGCATATACACACTTTGATCAGGAGAGATGTGTTGTGTACAGCCCCAGGGCCACCCATGTTACAAGAGATATAAACATGCTTCGCTGCAGCAGTGGTGTGTTCCATCGGATGACTCAGTGCATGGTTAACACGCTTGACAAAACTCAATGCCTTGAAGGTTTCTATTTAGTTAAGCTGTGTACATGACACATGACTTTACCAAATGGAAACTGTTAAGTCACGGAGTTCATCAAGCGTGGCCTAACCATGCACTGAGTCATCCGATGGAACACACCACTGCTGCAGTGAGGCAAGTTTACTTGCAAGTGATCAAGGTTATGGTTAATTCATGTAACATTTGAAGTAATCAAGCTTTCCGTCATGTTCAAGCATGTCACAGAGGCTCTTGATGTCATCCAAAGTGAATCAAGAATCAAACATGGACCTCCCAACATGGTTTAAGATCGTGCATTTCTTGTAAAGAGGAATATTAGAGCTTCATTTGAAGTCGTAACTTAAGCCATTTATGTTAAGTGTCCATCTTGTAAAATTTCATTCAGTCCAGTAAGCAATGGTCAGCTCTCCAAATCATAGACAACAAAAAAACATTAACATCTATTGAAAATAATGCAAAACACTATTTTCTGGGTAAAAATGGGTGGTACAGTGGTACAGTGGTACAGTGGTAGAGTGGCAGACTGACATGCTGTAGACCGCACAGACTGGGTCCTGTGAAGATCTGGGTAGAGAATGGATCTTCAGCAAGCCATGTTTGTCGTAGGAGATGACCTGACTTGGGTGGTCAGACTCACTGACTTGGTTGATGATGCATGTCATCGTATCCTAATTGCGTAGATCCATGCTCATAATGCCTGGATTGTCTGGTCCAGGCTTGATTATTTACAGACCGCAGTCATAGAGCTGGAATATTGCTGAGTGCCATGTTAAACAACCAATAAACAAACACAGACTGGCCAGGCATGTTAATTTTGAGTAGATATATCATGATACCTTTCAGTTGATATATCACTACTAAACTTTCCAATCACTGACACCCCAAGATGGATGTACTCATGATAGTGACAAGATCATAATGGAGTCATAATTTGTTTCGACAGGTTGACAGTGAGCAGCCTGCTGATTACAAATAGATAGTGCTGCTGTCTTGAGTCGTGTAAATCAATGTAGACAAGATGTCAATGCAATGAGTCACAATCCTCACTAAGTCTAGCAGAAGAAGGTATTAACAGATGACTCAAAGAAAATTTTCCAAACGAAGACAAGGTTCACACATATTATTCATTTTTGATATTATCATTTTTTCTCCCACTGTTTCAACATGTTCAAGACATGCATTTATTTTTTCTGGAAAAGAGGAACCAAATAATTCTTTCGGGGAACAAACCACATATGTTTCAGGACATCCAGCCTATTTTCCTTGAAAACTGGAGGTCAATTTTTTTTTCTGCATTTATTTGGAACAAATAATTTTTTGGGTAAGAAATACCAGGACGTCCCCTCCCTGTACCCCTCCAGTGAGTGAGTGAGTGAGTGAGTGAGTGAGTGAGTGAGTGAGTGAGTGAGTGAGAGTGAGTGAGTGAGTTGGGTCTAACGCCCCTTTTAACACTATAGATTCCAGTTATATCGTGGCATGTCAGCTTAATGTGAAAGCCCCAAGTGATGCAGGTCTTAGATGTTTACCACTTCAGTGAAACCCACGAGCATGGTGCTGACAAACCTAGAAACATAATCGGGGCAAACTGGGATTCGAACCCACAATCATAGGTTTCTGACGAGCTCCAAGGATAGCGAGAATATCAAATGCTCAGCCTTATAGTACTGCTGCACTGTGACTTCCTGAATGTTTTAACATGACCACTTGACTTTCAGGCCTAGTTTCAAACACTGATCATGCTGATAACCAGACTGATAACTCCCTTCCCATAGTCGTCATGCAGGACACGTGGACTAATATCAGTATGTTATTCATACAGTCCCTGTACATGACCGCAGCAAGGTCAAAGTCAATAATTGTGTCAGTCTGCACATATAAGTCTACTCAAGTGAAGTTCAGGATCACCCCATTCTTTCATATTACTATTACTACTGGTATGACAGATTAACTATAGTAACATGAAAGAATCAGGTTGTATACATGTTTAGTTTTATGGACACTGTTTTGTTTATCAGAAATACCAAGTAAGGTTGCTCTCATTTTGTATTTTCAGCGTTAGAAATTGGCACTAGTCCTGTAGTCCTTGCCAAACTGCCCAATAGTTAAGGTATCATAAGGGCTCGTAGAAATTTGACGTTTTTAAGAGTTTTGCTATTTGTTATCATTATAAGGACTAGTGGACTAAACATGCTAAATATGTTAGTTTCTACCCCTGATTTAAAAAAAATAATTAATCTACACGCGAAACATATTTTCAAACAAAATCAGAAGAGGAAGGTTCTGAAAGTAGTCATCTGACTATCAAGGTCCTATGACATAATTGAAGGTGTTCCATACTATAGTTTACTAAACGAGTCTCAGTTAGATACCGTTTTTGATGCCGTATACAATCTTTGGTGTCAAAATCACTATAACCACTAGGTTACCCCACCGCCCCTTGTTGGCTATCTGATTTCATACAAGTCTGCAGATGGTTGATCTGCCATGAAATGAGCTGCAATTACCCTTAAGCTGCACCATTTGTTCAATTTCAGCACAAAAAAGATTCATGACACAAGATGCATCTGTTCACATGAGGACGACATTCCCAATGACTAACCAAGGGGCACTACGCTCATTTACAACACAAAGTTCAAGGTCGTAAGTAGCGATGAATGTTCATTCTTGCTACATAATATTTGTTTATTAGTGGTGCTCTGAACCTTAATAATAACATGATGCTCACACTACTACTATGAAAAGTAAGAGTTTGTGTACCAGTGGTAGAAACTAACAGAAACTAAAGTGCACTTTTATTAAACGGGTGATATCTTCAAGAGTGAGTAATAATAATTGTATAATACTCATATGGTGTGTCCTTGCCATACGTCACTATCACTATTATTCACCAGACTCGCATGGGTTACTTTCTATCCATGCAGCCAGTGCAGGTTATTTGCCAATTTCACAAATTACAAAAAAAGAAGATTATGTCAGAAGCTTGACTCATCAGTACAGGTGAGTTCAACAAGAAAAGAGACTGGTCGCATGTTCATGATCACAATGAACACAATACACAGAGATAATTATGGACAATGATCCAATAATGCACCGGCCTACTATGAGAATTAACAAAACATATAATATTAATGATGATGATGCTTAGATTACCCCAATATAATTAAAATCAGATATAAGTTCTTGCTACCATGGCTACCGCTGAGGTTATCCCATTACAGGTAGCGTCAGAATGACCTTTCACGAACTTTGACCGTCCAATGAAATTGATAACTTGTTCCCAATCCATTTCAATCTGAATAAAATATGTTTAAATCATGAAATGAAAGTCAACATAAGCCACTAAGAAAGCAGCTTTCTTGACCTTTGCAGCACTAGTTTCAAACTCGTTCCATTCCAGACTAT